TGCATTTATTGCTGGTACCAAATTCAGGTGCTTGCAGCGCATTAACATGAAGTCACTGGGGAAAAACAAACACACTAACCGCAGAAATAAAATACAAGCATTGCTTCAAATGATATATTCTGATATACTTATTATATATGCTGATATCTTTAAGCAATATATGAATAGGACTAGGGAGGGACTTATTCTCTTTCCAAAAGGATTTTGCATTTAAATGGGTGTCTCTTTAAAGATGAAGTTAAAAATACACCTGTACTTTGTTCAGTCCTATTTAAAGCAGTCCTAAGGTTACTGTTCATATACAGGTTTTCTTTTTCTTTTGCTCCTCACATTGATTGGATTGCCATGTAACCATGGAAACAATGCATGATACACAATTTGGGATCCTGAGAAGTTTCTCATTCCTGTGATTATGGACAACAGCATAAACTCTTGTGGGAAATATTTTGAAATCTGAGAAGTCAGACAGTAAAGATCAACTCCCAGGGCCCTTTTCCTCCTGTGCAGTTGTTATTTCATAATCGCTTTCCCCCAACTTTTCCCAGTCTCTGTACTTTCCTTCCATTTCCTTAGTACTTGCTAATGCCCTTGAAATGTTCTTTGTAGTGCAGGATCTTCTTGAGAGTTGCAGAGACAAATCCAAACGCACTCAATTTTTCTCCTTACAAAATTTGTGTATATTCAGTTGTGTAGAGTGTGGTTTTCATGCTGCCTGGCTTACCACGGCATCAGTCTCTCTTGATAGACAAAGTGGATTTGCCCAAGCAAAGATTTGTGGAATCATATTTATGGATACACAAGTTTGCCGCAATGGTGATTACAGTAGCAGGAGGTGAAAAGGAAATAAGGAAAAGCTGAAATTGAAAATGCAAACAGTGCATCTTGCAAAATGCCAGGCATGCGTCATCACTGTTCTTTCTGTGCCTCAAAACCAGCTTATGGGAGCAGTTATGGCTAATAACGCTAGGCAACTAAGGGCCAAACCAGGTGTCATGGCAGCACATGACAACTTGGGGTCATGTCAAATTCATATGAAGTAAGTAGGAGCATGTGTTTGTTTTAAAGCATGGTATGGGTTGATGGGAGAGCTGAATTTCCCTCCACACTGTTACCCCCCCCAAAAAACAACTGCTTCTCCCTGTCCATTTTCCTCCTGGTGGGAGTGGCCTCTAGCCTTTGAGCCCCACCCCAGTGGAAACTGCTTTGACAAAGTGGTTCAGGAGTGGGGAAGTGTGGGCACAGGAAAGGTTCAAGTCTTCCTTCTCACTCACCAGTGATGCCCTTTTGATGGTCTTCTACCCAACCCTGCTCTGTTTGAGTTAGTAGGGTTGCCAGCCTCTAGGTGGTGGTAGGAGATCTCCTGGGATGACAACTGATCTTCAGGCGACAGAGATCAGTTCACCTAACGAAATGTCTGCTTTGGAAAGTGGACTCTGTGGCATTGTACCCCATTAGAGTCCCTCCCCTCCCCAAACCCTGCCAGCCTCAGGCGCCACTCCCAAAATCTCCAGGTATTTCCCAGCCTGGAGCTGGCAACTCTATGGATTAGGCTCTGGTCCAGTTCTTATACAAGGGATTGCTACGGTATTGACTACTTTGGCCCTTAGTTCATTAATTTTACAAGTTGAAAGTGTTTCAGCCTTGATATAGTGTTAAATAGCTCGGCCCTCTGACATCCAAAAGGCTGTGTTCTTGAAGTTCCATAATTCATGCTCAAGAGGACTGAACACTCCCACCTGGCTATGATAACTGTGTTGCAGTGAGATTCCACTGCGGAGGTTTCCAGGTGGCCTTTGTACAACCACAGAGGTCCTTTCCTTTGGAAGACTCATTGAGGTCAGGCCTTGAGGAACTCCCAGAAGCCCTGGTTGTCTCTGTTTTTTTTTTTTTTAGTGCTGCTGGATTTTACCAGGCATTATTATACAGGAAAGATGTGTTAGGTTTTTGAGCATTGGTATCAGTGCTGGGCACATTTTAAAGCTAATGCTCTATATGTACTAATTTTGACTTTGTTTATTTTAAGTCCAAACTCATGGCAAGTTCTTTTCATCAAATGCTTTCTATTAAGCTGCCAGAATTATCAGACTTCATTCCACTGGAAAGCGATTTTCCCTTAAAACAAATGCATAGAAGGCATGGGAGAGAGGAGGTTGGTGGGTGGAGATTTCCTGTAAATTCTGTCATATTTTATTCCATTGCTTTTGCAGGAGCAAAAAATAAAACAGATGGAGTTCTTTTGAATAGTTTTTACAAGACAAGAGCAGCAACGCATCACAGGCTGTATGTTCTGAGAAAGACATAGAAGGAGGCCCTTAAGTATACACAATAAATATAGTGAATGATTAACCCCTTTATTCTGTAATTATCCCAATCCATTATACTGATTATAATACAAACAGTACAGTTCAGCAAATTTCAGTTAGTACTAAGCCTCACTGAAAACAATAGAATGGCTTAAACATGCCTGACTTAAATCTTCTTCATTCAGTGGGACTCTTGGTCATGACTAGCCATTGTTGGCTTCTACCTCCAGGTACAAAAGAACAGTTTAGGATCATGCAGAAGAAGAAGAGAAGAGGAGATTGGATTTATACTCCCGCTCTTCACTACCCAAAAGTGTCTCAGAGCGGCTTACAAACTCCTTTCCCTTCCCCTCCCCACAACAGACACTCTGTGAGGTGGGTGGGGCTGAGAGAGCTCTTGACAGAAACTGCTCTTTTTCAAGAACAGCTCAGACAGAACTACGGCTTGCCCAAGGTCATCCAGCCAGGTGCAAGTGGAGGAGTGGGGAATCAAACCCGGTTCTCCCAGATTAGAGTCCACGCACTTAACCACTACACCAAACTGGCTCTGCAAAGGGCTTATACTAAACTGGCACCATCCCCCCCCCCTTTATAGCACAAACTGCTTTCAAATGCAGTTTGCCATAGGAAATGGGGTGCCATTACAAACAAGTTATAACCTCCTTGGGCTTACAGAAAGACTGTCATGACTTCTTTAGATCTGGGCCAAAATGTATATATACTACTAGGAAAGGGTTCTTACTATCAGAGTAGGTCAGAGATCTCTCACATTTCATATTCTCAAGCACAAATCAACCTATGTGATTCAGAGTACATTAGCTGCTTGTTGGTAAGAAAGATGCATGGAAAAAGAGACGACAGGGTGTCTGTCTACCCATGTTGGTAGAATATTGCATTTTTGACTGCTACAGCGAACAGGAATGACACCGTTCGTTTTAGGCATTCATCAATAGAAATCTGCTATATGAATAAAGTGTGACTTTTGTTTGTCTTTTGTGTTGTCCCAAGCAAAGTTATATTTATTTATTTATTGTATGTATATCCTTCCCATCCTGCAAGCAGGCTCAGGGTGGGTAACATCATATTTCAGTAAATAAAATAAAATTTAAAAACACAATATAAACATTAAAATCAGTAGTTACAGCTTACAGTTGAGAGATTCCAGCCGGTTGGCATAGATGGATAATGGCCGGTTATCAGTGGGTGGGTGACAGCAACCTCAGGGAGGCCATATGGGGACAGCCTCTGCCTTAGCTGAAGGCCTGGCAGAACAGCCCTTCAAAGCCCATTGAAGTTAAAGGCTTAGAAGGGGCACAACTCTGTGGGTGCCTAAAAACAAAAGGGAAGTAACTCCGTTAGTGTCAGTGAAAATAAAATCTTGCTCTTGGTTAATTATTTTGGTAACATTGGATGCCGTCCGTTTTGCCCATATAAATGTAATTATCAGAGTTTTAATCAGGATGTGCCAAAATAATTTAAGGGAACACATCTTTTGTAGATGCTGTTGCTGCTCCACTTCAGAGCTTTGTGAACATCCTCATTAGCTGGCTTTCTCATTTGATTCATAGGGCAGCTCCATGCAGACATTACTTCGCACAAGCAGAGCTTTCACTGTCTACTGAAGTAAATGAAGAGTTATTATGGGCAGGGAGGTCCATGTATCTATTTAGGCTCCCATTTCCACAAGGTACCATTGGGCAATCAGAGCATTTGAATGTAGTCCTGGGAAAATGGTGTCCACTTAGGTCTGTCTGTCTATCTCTGCTCATACATCTAGGTCCATTTATTTTACTTGGACTGAAAGTTGCTCAACATGTTTCTATAGTGCACCTGTCTACGTCCCATTTCCGGACCACTCTCAGAATGTGGCTAACATGATATCTGTACAGAGGTCTTTTGTGCTCTTGTTTTAATCAGGAACCAGGACTGCTTGTTTCACTCAAATGCACTAAAAATAAATACAAAGGTCTCAATATCTAAATCTCTTACAGCTGTAGCACTCATAGAGTAACTGCTTCTTCCTCCCCCAGATGGACAGGAAGAGTGTTTGCACTGAGTTCTCACTAATAATGCACAAGTATCTTGCACACATGTCTGTTGTGGGGATGATCTGCACATGGCTAATAGCCCTCTGGATGCCCAGCTTGCTTGCAGCCCCTTCCTTTTAAACATGCGGTGCAGACGAAATTGAAGCTACCAACCCTCAGCTCTGCTGGCCCTGTCTACCCCCTCCAAGCTGTGCAACTGACCAAAAGGAGAGGGGGCAGGAATGATCTGAGTGAATCTAGGGCCCTGGGCAAAAGTTCAATCTGGGGGCCCAGAATCATTGTTGCACAGGGCCCACCTCCTCACACACCTGAGCCAGCCAGGTTCAAGAAAGGGGGTGGACCTTTTCCCAGGAAATGTGGGCAAATGTGTGCAGCAGTTGCTAAGCTTGGCTGCTGCCTAAGCCTGGAGTGAGTCACAGGCACAGTCGCCACTGGCTCTTCCTCTCTTTTGGGAGCAGGAAAAGGCTGTGAGTGGTGGTGGTGGTGGCCTCAGCTGCCTCAGATGCCTTGTAGCTAAGACTGCCCCTGCCAGGGGCTGTAGAAAGTGATGCGAGTCACCTGGCTGAGGGGTGGTGCTTAGCACAATTGCCCCAGCGTCTTTCTAAATTCTTTTCCTGTCCTCCACCCAGGCACAATAATTGCTTGCAGCCTAGAGCTGAACTTCTTGCTTTCACCTCTTATTCTAGGTGACATGTTACACCTTAAACAGTAAATGCCAGCTGAGAGTGAAGAGCAACACATGCTACTGTTGTGACTTGTACAACTGTGAAAAGTAAGTACCTACAGACTACTGCAGGTCAGAAAGATGTTGCCAGTCTAAGATTTGCCTTTTCCACGCCTCAAGGAAAAAACAGCATGGTGTAATTCAAGGGATGTCTTTAAATGCATTGTTTCAAGAAATGGCCAATTGCCAACAAAGAGGCTCTGCCCTTTAAAGCATGTGTTTATATTGTCTTCCACAGAATCGGGGAGGAATTGCAGATAATACTTCCTAATACTTCAGTCCACTCAGAGTGGGTGATCCAGTGTACAGTACCAGTGCAGTCTGTTATATCCAATTCTGCTGGCCTGGTTCAATATGAAGGAAGCACAGATCTGCCTGTTTCCTGCTTGCCATGCATTAAATCCTTTTGCTCAGAACCTTCCTCCCACACAAATATGCATGCCAGCCCTAGTACAAGACGTTTCATGTTTCCAGGCCTTGGATCGGGCCGGAGCACGCCGGTACGTCGCTCTGGGAGAGAGGCACGGGGGGCAGGGCAGTCACATGGTGAAGCCCCGCCCCCTTCTTCCGGCCGCCTTCTGCTTCCAGTTTCATTCCATTCCAGAACGAGGAAGAAGCAGGAGGGTGTAAGTCGGCTTCCTCCCCATCTCTGCCTGGCCGAGGCTGCTCCAGCAGCCTTCGCTAGGCCTCCAGGGCCAACCCAGACCTTCCCGGAGGTGTGCGAAGCCGCTCACCCTGGGAAAAATCTCTCCCCTGTCTCTGCCTGGCCCAGGCTGTTCTCGGCGGCAGCTGCGATGTGGGGATGTGGGGGGGGGGCGAAATGTTCCCTTGCCTCCTTGAGTGGTGGCCTTGGACTCGTAGGGGCAAATTCCATCTCGTGTGTGAGGCCACCTCTCATGCGAAAGGCCATTCTGACTCCCCCAGCTCCCGGGAGGGCCACCGTCGCGGCGGCAGTTGTGTCGCCGCTGTGAGGGGGCGGGGCGAAACGTTTCCTTGCCTCCCTGACCCCCGGGGTGGTGGCCTTGTAGGGGCAAATTCCACCTCTCGCATGTGATGTCCGAGTAGCCCCCCACCCTCCCCTCCTTTTTCAGGCTCCGCGCTAGAACGCTGGGCCTGAAAAAGGGCCAGCCGAATGTCAATTTCGGCCCCATGATATCCTATGGGCCATTGAAGTCAATGGCAAAAACATAGGGTATATTCTGG